CCGGCGTAAAGTCATCGGAGATTTTTCTCATTTGATCTTCGCACTGGGTTCAGGACACACTGTCTTGACTTTTCGCGCACGCAAAAACATATCCTTCAAGAATAAACAGAACGCGCTTCAATGGCTTTGCGAGTGTGATTCATTCATTCAGTGACTGGAGAATAATTTCATATTCCTCATGGCTATTCAATTTTCGCCTAATTTCACTCCCTCGTGATTATTAATTTGCGAGTTTGTTATCATTTTTGATCCATTATTCGTCATGATTATGATTAATTGCAGAACAGAGTGGAGATTTCGCCGCAGAATCATCACCGCACGAGAGAGTGAAATTGAGTTAAGGGCGTACTGAATGCGAGGAAATGTATAGACAGAAAATTCTAGAGGGCACGAGAAGATGTTTGTTGCGAGAAGGCGGAAATAAAGAAAATTGTATATTAACTAACCAACATTTTTCCCTCCGCCTCACCAGTGAGATTTTTCCACCGCACACAGAGACTTCTTCTTCTCTCGCCCAGTGAAAGTCTCTCTGAAGTGGAGTGAAAATCATTGTGTGAAATTCAATAAAGCACAACCCTAATCAGCACATCAATCAGGCATGATTGCAAAACCAAATACAATTCTCTCGCTCAGCAATGTGGCGGCGGGAAAATCTCGAGAATGCCAATTGCCCGAGTGATATCATATTTGGCCCATCTGAACCTTGTTTTTATTGTTCCATTTACATTTATTTGTCGCCCCCATCATTCCATGGCAAATCAATGACGAGACCCTCGGCACACTGAAGAAGGTGTCATTGAGATTGAGGATGTAACTCAATTTGTCACACTTCAACCAATCCACAGAGAAAAGAGGATTGCAAACACAGGGAAGTACACAGAGAGGGTGACTCAAATCAAGGATACATCATCACACTTGATGGCTGATATTATCTCATCATCGCTTGCAAATATGTTTCTCTTCGCCTAATTCAATTGCCATCAGCATGGACACGGAATCTATATCTGATTTCTATACGCGGCAAAACATGGACTCATTTCCCTTCTTAATGTCTCTCATTTTATATGCATTATCATTATAAAATTACCCTCGCAAATGTGAGAAGCTGTGCCACTGAATATCCAGCACAGAAGGGCGCAGAGTTGCGCGAGATCAAAGAAGTAATTTTTATTCGCTTTTATTCTATCACATAACGATCCTTAATTGCGTTACGCCATAATTTTGACGGGCTCCGTTATTAATTCATGAAATTTTAAAAGAACTTTATCCAATTTGCTGGAATTCACCAGCCCCGAAGGCTTCATTTTGGCCCACGATAAAAGAGCAGCGCGAAGGGAGGAAAATGTTGGAAAAAGTGCCCAGAAAACCACTGAATGGAACTTTTTTTCCTCCCTGAACATCAGGAAGGACGGTCAAATTGTAGGAAAGTTGCTCAAGCTGTAATTTGCGAATTACTGCACAACTCAATTATCAACATCACAAAAAATACGCTCGTTTTATCGTACCAAGAGGCGTGCATATTTAAGGGAAAATTCGGTGTCGGTAGGAGGAAAACTTGCTGATATTTGGATAGAAAAAATATACTGAAATACTCACTTTGCTCGTGTCACTCAACATAATTAGTGTGGGATTTAAGAGAGATGACAATCAATAGAAATTTCATGCAATCTCCTTTAGCCAAAAACCATATTCCTCAAAACACTGTGAGAGTCTCTCGCGAGGAAAACGAGGATGAATTTTCCATTTGAGCAGTTGCAGAGGCATTTCCTTGGAGATCCTCGAAGGTGAAATGGGAATGAAAGTGGCGGAGGCGAGAAGCCATAAACCATCTCCCAAAAACATAAACCAATTTCCAAGAGGGCGGAATGAAAATCCCAGCCACTAGCGATTCAGGATAATTTACATCAATTCAACCCCTTTGCCACCCATCGAGAGAGCATCCCTGAATTATATCGCACCGCAGCCGCTCTCCCGGAGGCTGTAATGCTTATTATGCAATAAAATATCGTGATGTATGGCGGATGGATGCCGTACAAGTAGTTATTTTGCATATTACATTACCAGTAGAAACATGAAAATTTATTTTCCTCCAACCAACACACCTCAAGCCCATGAGAAAGTCATCCTATTACGGCGGAACAGGCGCTCTGCAGAGCGCGAGGAGAGAGTGTAGAGGAAGGCAAGCCTCTGAATTACGATTTATCTGGATATTTTCCACAAGATGAATGTTCTTCTTTCCACGAACACATTTCTCTTCCACACCAACACTCTTCGCCATCGAGGGGTGTAAAATATTGGGGTAGAAAAACCCCACAAGTAGAGATTTATCTACCGTCATGCAGAAAAAAAATCCTCTCGCGTGCATAATTATTGTGAATAAATAATTCACGTAACACTATCAAATCACACAATTTGTGTCCCCCTGATTTTGCCATTGAAAATCAACTTGCTGCGGAAAACAACCCTCCAAACTTTCTCAACAACACCCATGAAATGAATTTCACCCTCGACAATTTCACTGATAGCCTCAGAAATCTCGTGATTATGAATGGCCCAATGCGAAATATTACTCAGAAGAAGCCAACACACAAATTAGAGAAATTCCAACAGGAAGAATAATGTTCGGAGGCAGAAAGCAGTTTTCCCACCAAAATACATTCCTTGACGAACTTTAGGCGCAACACGAGCGCTTATGCGACAGTGTAAACGCAGCTGCGCAGAGCGCCAGAATGTTTTGTACATTGACACAAGATGGGTGTTAGTCCCTTTGGCGCAGAGGATAGCGCGTTGGACTTCTAATCCAAAGGTCGCGGGTTCGATCCCCGCAAGGGATGAGGCCATTTTTACTTTTTTACACCCTTTTCCTACATCCTCACCATCCATTATTAACAATCTCAGTGCATTGCTGGTAATTTAATGCAGTCTGAGCTCATAAATCGCACAACTTGAGCGTTAATTCACTCGCAAATATTAATGACTCGACCGAGGGGCCAACAAACTACAGGAAAACTTCCCTGAAACCCACCATTGTTGACAGGAAATGTGTAATCAATTAATTTTCACACAAAATCACATTTCTTCAGACACTCTATGAAGATTCTCCAGAGAAATGCCATCAATTTATTTCAATTTTGCCATCTCTTGAGCTTGAATAAGAGATTGCGTGTGGGCAGAAGCGACGAGAAAATTCATCTCTTAGCCGAGAAACAGGTGGAATGAGGGTGGCAAACAAAGGCAAAGTGGTTGTTTCTCTAGTAACATTGTTGCTATTATTCGCATTACACGCTCTGTGGAGCTGCAGAGGGAAAAATAGAGAAACTAAAACTCCCCTTTCGCGTATAGCCTTCGATATGAAAGCGCACAACAAATAAATCATCCCTTAATTTTGGATGAATGCAAACGTGGCCACGCCTTTGCTTCTAAAGTGTTTTACTTAGTTACATCCTTTGGCTGGCATTTCTCTTTCTCTCCTTCTCGCCATTATTTCTCATTTTATTTTCCTCCGCGTCCGAACAACACCCCCATAAAACTCACCCTCTCAGTGCCTCACGTGAGCATATCTTGCCGAGTCTCATAGTCCGAGACGATGTGGAAGAACACACGCCAGGGGTGAAGAAAGTGGAGTTTTTCACCGTTTTGCGTGCGTTAAATTGATCTCAACAATTAGAGAAATCGCAATTACTTCAATTTTGTGAAATACTGATTTTTTTCAGACACAATTTCCTCAAGTTCTTCACCCCTGCGCGCCAAGGCGAAGCACGGACGCCTTGCAACCCCTTCTCGGCGCTGGCTGGCAGATGGATATCTAATATAAATGATAAGGTTTCTCCTAGATTTACTTGGCAAACCCACACCCGGTGGCTCTAGCACGAAACACCGCGCCAAAGGAGGAGAGAATGATTGGATTTAGCCGGAGTTGGTGGATTGTGTGGGATTATATTGCGAAATGTACAACCATGAGCGTGTGTGTGTTGAGCAATTGGAGAAAATGGGGAATGAAATATTGAGGAAATGGAGCCAGCCAACGATATAAATGACCTAAATGGGGAGTAATTTATTTGAGCACACTCTGAGGGAGAGAAAAGCTCATGTCCGTTTCTTTTTCTTCATCATCTCGCCACCCCTCGCGTCCAGACCGCAGTTCCTTCCATCGTCCTGCCAATGTGGCCTTCAAGGAGGCGGAAAGTGGCCCTTAAAGAATTTTTCTCAAGTCCTGAAAACTCAAGGTTTTGTGGTGCATCTGAATTGAATTATGAGCCCTCTCTTGGCAGACACTCAAGGGAGAGAAGGAGAGTCACAATTAAGGTGTCCATCCAACCATGTAAGAAAACCCATTGGAAAAGCCCCACAAGAAGTTTACGACATAGTGTCCCACTTGACATATTGATGTTCTTCTGATATTTGCCAAGATGAAATTGTCCATTGAGAGTGTATTTGGATTCTCTCTCTTTCACTCGCATCCCCTCTTCGCTCTCTCAGACATTCTCTTGTACATACAACCAGAGCGTTTTAACACAATTGCGCGACATCTTAAATTGCCGTAATGAAATCAAATTTGAAAATTGAACCAAGCAATTCCATATTAAAACACCATATACAAATACCAATAAATTATGTTGCTATGGGGCGGTGCAAAGTATCATGACCGTTTCACTCAATTCCACTCCACATCTCACTCTCAAACCCATACGACCGTCTCAGTCTCGCCGGCATTCGCTGAAAGTGGTGGAAATCGCGGCGCAGGCATTTTGAATGATTTCCCCCCTCGAGAAAGAGGCACACAACTGCCTCTCTCCTCCCCGCAATCAAAGGCAAGACAGCCAGAGCGAGAAAGCTAGCAAGAGGCGTGGTCTAGGCTCTCACATCAGCGAGTGCGACAGAAAGGGCGAATGTAGGATATTGTGATGCTGATTCTCACATCTGGACCACACGCTGCAGCGCGACATCAAATATAAAATCCACACAATCATCGGCACGACTTTCAGTGCAAGAAATTCCCTCTGAGTGATCGTGCGGTATGACTTGGTGACATTCCGGAGGCAATTTCGCTGATGACACTTCGTCAAAATGTGGTGATTGTGACGGTAAAAATCACTGAAAATCAACTACACATCCACACACGCGCGATTGATCACCCAGAAAATCTCACAGTGACGCATAATGTTCTAATTGAGAATTTTTGCAAACCAAATAACAATAATAACTCAAAATCTGTGATATCTTGTGTGACCCAGACAGAGTCTCAATAATTGCCCAAAAAGACGTCAAGAATTCGTCGAAGCTGGTCACGAAAAGCCGCCCCTCGAAGGAAAACACGGTGCGGGGAAATTAACCCGCTCAAAGAAAATCATCATTTTCACCGACGGGAACAAGGTAAATGAGTGCAAAATCACTAAATCCACACCAAAAAAAAAACACTCAGAATGAAAAGCCACAGTAAAAGATAAAAGATATGTATAGACGCGTGATGTACGAATTTTCAGTCGATAGAGCATTTCAATTAAAATTTGTTAAATGACCGCAGCACCAAATGCACTTAATTACTTAATTATTCAAATGCATTTTAATTGATCATTTTTGGGTTTTTCATTTCCTCATTTCATTCACTCTCTTTCTCTCTCTCGCACTCGCTCTCATCGTCAATCCCGAAAAACCGCGTCACGCATAAAACCAATACAGATGCAACGATGGACACAATATTGCATCGCAATTGCAACAGACTGCATTTCGACTGTGTGTTGTCGATGGGTGGGATTTATGTGATTTTCATATTTGCAAAATATCACAACTGCCCAATTTCCCTCATATGAATTTATCCCATTTTCCTACCAATAATTCACTCAATTCTATAATTCACTACATGTAATTCGGCTTTTGCGAAAAACAATTTTACCTCTGCCAATTACTGATTGTCCAGGGGATCGTCATTGCCCACATCAAAATACGTGCAACATTAGAAAGAAATGTTTTCAACCATCAGCATTAGCTGGTGATTTAATTACTGGCTTTTAGCGTGTTACGGTTGATAAATGATAAAATTGCACTTTTACTTTTATATGGGCGAGTGTCAAAATCTCGCCTGAATAACCCCTTGGAAAAATTGCATTTCCCCATGAGTTTTGACCACTTTTCACATTTGAATTTTCCACATAGCCACCAAATGATTCGTAAAATGCGACCAAATCCCATTCATGCTGGGCGAAGAGAAGGAAAATCGGCTAATTGAATGGCTGAGCCACTTAATTACTTGCAAAATAGATTTTCAGTGAATTGAGAGGGAAAAGAAGTGCTCTCCATGTCGCCAAGAGAGTTGACAAAACGGAATTTCACCCTCATTGTCGAGAACATCCCTCACTCTCTCATTCCACTGATTCTTAGTGTGTAATTGAGTTGAAATGACACAATGAACTACCCGAAAACATTCTGTTTAGATTGCACATGTCATTTAGATGTTTGAGGATTACCATCTCGCCCCTCAAATCCTCCCTCATCATTAGCTTTCCTCTCACCCTTGCGCTATTCGAGAAAATATTTATACAAGTGATTTGGGTGTAATAAAACGCATCTTCACAAATAAATATTCATTGGACTATCAGAGAGGAGTTCTTGGTGTGTCTTCCTTATTGAAATTCATCAAGTTCCAATTTATTTCATGATGGCTTCTGCGTGGAAGCCACAAAGACGGAGGGTTAGAAGCGACGAGAGAGAGAGAGAGAGACTCAAGTGAAACAAGCAAGAGCAATTTAATAAAAAGCACTCAATTGACGATAATCAAATTTAAATATAAAATTGCGTCGGCTCAGAGGCAAAACAATAATGAGAAGTAATATTTAATAAATTCCAACCACTCGCTGTATCAACTCCACTTGGCCGGGCGGCACTTGTGGCTCTCCGAATAGTATCGCAAAGTGGATCACATCTCCTCATGCCAAATTAATACTTGTTAATGGTCATTAGACTAATATTCTACTTTACACACTGCATTTACTCTAGATTGAATGCCACGATATATTTTCCACTGTATTGCGGAATTGCAAATGCGATCGGCGCAATTGTGTGAATGCTGCAGAGGGAATTTTGCGGGAAAAATACACTCACGTGCTTGTGGATGAAAATTCAGGCAGTTGAGCAGCATCCTATAGAAGAATGTAGAACAAGAAATAGTGTTATGTACATATAATAATCATATTAAATTCATGTAGACTGTTAAAGATCGATTTAAGAGCCCGATAAGGATTCCATTATAATACACAACACACCAAAACGTGCAAATATTCACGGGAAAGGAGTTAATAAGAGAGTGTTCGAAGCACAAACTCCCATTCTTTCAAGGACCACTCAGCATCCAAAGAATGCGCCAACAAAGGGAGGCAAGAACTATGCAAATTAATATCAATCCCTCTTGGGAGTGTGAGAAAAAACGCGCGAGGACCGAGTTGGAGTACTTTTTTACGATTATCTCTTTCATTATATCGTCCAAGTTTTGTGATTTATATCTCCAATTCCATTTGAGAAATAAAACCATTGCGCGCCGTTTCCACGCGGGGTGCAGAACAATTGATATTTATGGCATGAGGACGCAGGTGTTGATGTGCAAATGAACATCCTGAAATTGATAATTAATTATCAAAAGCAATTATGTGATTGTGGCAATTATTCTCTTCACATCCCCAGCAAAATTCACGGGTGAGATGAGGCAGAGTTTTGCATGTTCCTCTGAGGTCTTTTCTCGTGATGTTCCTTCTCTCTCTCTTTCCTATCTGCGTTTTGAAAGGAAGTTGGCAAAGTGGGTGGAATGTTCTCTCTCGCTCCCTCTCACCCCGGAAACTTCCCTTAACCGCCCAGTGGGTGGCGTACTTTTGAAATTTAGCACAGAGATACACACACACACACAGAGTTGGAGTGTGTTATAAATCGTGCAAAATTAATGGTATCAAATGCATTTTAGCAAATGAACATTTTACCCAGAGTGTCTCTCTCACTCTGTATTTTAATGTGGGCAAAAGGAGAAGGGTAATTTATTCCGAGAGACACGAAAGGCGGGTTGATGCTTAATTACACGAAATTTATTAGCCACTTTGGGTACCAACACCAAGAAATTTACATATAATTTTGCACATTTGCGAAATTCACATTTCCTCCACACACTGATTTTGCAAATTTTAACATCCCCAGCCAAAATGGAGCCAAATATTTTGAGGAAAATATTTTGGGGAGAAACTTTCAGTAACAACAACAACTCAACTTTATTATGCGGGAAAATATTTGTATACATCGAGAGTGTCTGTAGTGAATTTGACGAAAAAAAAGAAAAATCATATTACATACTATTTAATAAACTCAATGACACCACAAAGTGATCAAATAAGAGAGACAGTCCAATGAAGACTTCATTGAATCGAAAAAAATACTTTTCCCTCATGTCAATTGCCTCCTTTGTAAATATACAAAATTGACTTTGATATGGCTTGTAATGGTTTGCCTTTTGTAATGTCCACAGCGAGTATATAAATTGAAAAGTATCTCAACTAGCAATTGGCTTGAAGTACGCGACGATTTACTGTCATCTGAGCACATCTCTTCAGCCGCGAGACGACACTCTCCGCATAAGACAATGTCTATCATCCACGCGCGCTGTGGCAAGATGGCATCATATATGATTAAAATGGCACGGCAGCGCTGAGCCGGACGTTGGTCAGGATGAGCAATGATCATAAATCGTCCAATCGAATGCACAGACGACCTTGCAATGCAATCCAATTCCCTCCCCCCACCCGAATGCACTTCTGCATTTGTCTGCCCGACCAGAACTCGGTTAACCTATATCAAATGGCCAATTATTTAATTTTGGCTCTTCAATTGATATTTAAATCATGGTGCGACACCAGCTGGAAGCTCTCCAGCACTTCCACATCTCGCCATAGTGTGGCAAGTATATCAAGTGCACTCGTGGGTGCACACAATTCCCCGCGTCTCTTGGACTCATTTCGGCCATTTGTACCGCCTCTTCACTCAGGCATGCGAAAAGCTGTGCGTGAATAATTGGGAATTAAAGGGAGAACTTCTATGGTCGCATTTTACCCACCCAGAATAATGAAATCTGCGAAATCCGTGATCTTTTCTCCTCCTGTGTAGAAAATTCTGGGCCATTTCCTTACAATGCAGTCTCGAGTGTGCGTGATAATTCAGTAAAGGTCGGTCAGAGATTAGTTTAAATCCGGCGCGACTTGCAAGTATGGTTCCATGTCATTTCATGTGCAAATTTCCATCGAGGGAGGGAAATTGCGCAAATTAGCATTATTCCAAACGAAATGATTCAATTTCATTGGATAATATGATGTCGGGGAGCTGCAGCCAGCATCCGCACGTCGAATTCTCCGCAATTTGCAGCCGAGATGAGTATCGCCACATCAGTGTGCAAGGAAAGGCGCACAATCTTGAGTAAGACCCGCCATTCGCTGGGTTATAAATATACAACGTGGTGTCAAAATTTTATCAGATAAAATTGAATCAAGTAAATGACTTGGGATGGGCGCGAATTTGAATGTTGCCAAACGATGAGAGGGATGAAATTCTCGCGCCCGAGAATGGAGTTAATTGAGTCAACTGATTTTATTGTGCATGAGCCTCCTCTCTCTCTCTCTCTGATATAACATCCGTCATCATTTAAAACAATTGCCTTACAGAATTTGATTGTGCCAATTGAAATCGCACATGGACATGCCACGGAATCACATTTCATCAGCGTTATATTTACACTTCACGGATCATGACAATATTCCACGTCTCTTGCAAGGATTCACTAATAGATCGCGCGCATTCGAATACTTGTGTATTCTTGCAGAGCACATGGACACAATTTATTATCATATTGCGTTTGAGCACAGCTATAAAAAAGATAAATAAATTTCAGTTGATTGGAATTAATTAATATTCATTTAATTTGATCACAACACACACTCAACAGTGGCTCAAAAGACCAGCATCATATTCGCCGCCTTTTCAACATGCGCCAAAGAATGCCCAAATGCGACATTATAATGTGCTGTGGGGAAGAGATCATCCATCAAGACAGACTGAAATATTTCACGCTGGATGTGGAATTTATGAATCTCTCACTTTGGACCAACATAATTCCCCTCAAACGGGACTGAATCAATTTTAAAATGTATGTTCTCCACACACATGCAATTCATGTATAAATTAACTTTAATTGAATTTGATGCCGTCGAGAGCCTATAAACAAATGATGTCATCAACTTAATTTAACTCCTAACTCAATAGAGAAGCCCGGCCAATGATGACAGAAACCAGCGAAATGATATATCTTGAAAATTTTAACTCATCAAAGCGATGTGCGGCTCTAACAAGACTCTCTCTCTCTCTCTCTTTCGCAGTTGGGACCCGCAGCAGCGGGACGAGGAATGTTCTGCTACCACTGTCCACCTGCATTGCATCCCACAGGACCGCATCCGCCTCGACTACCAACCCTGGAGTACCCGTTCGCGCCGACACATCCTTGTGAGTAAAGAATCCGACTTTATTGCTTGTGGAAAGTGGACAGTTTTTTTTTAAGTTAAACACAGCTCGAGAGCTGTAGAATTTGTACAAGATGACCACTCAGACTGGGAGTTACTCTTAACCCTTTGACGCCAGTGTTGCTGGAAAAATTTGCAGATCTGATTAATCTTGAATATCTAACCTTTCTTGAACGCACTTAAAGTACAGAAAGATCAGGAGTAAATCATTTTTTGAAGAGAAAATACTTGAGTAAAATAATTGAGTCATATTTGTCTCATAAAGTTCGTTTTCAAATCCATTAATTTACGTTTTTAACACTGTTTTCGGGTTTCGTTCAAAACTTTGTCTGTCTTGAAGGGATAAGAAGCATCACTTCATGGAATGTGAATGCACAGTCTGAAGGTGCAGAATTTTGCTAATTGCACTTGATTTATCTACAATTAACTCCATTCCTTCAACTCTGCAGCTGCGCTAAGCCAGCTCCACTGCCTGATTCGATATGGTCTCTCCAGTTGGGATCAATTTCGAAGGCACCCCCAAATGTGGAAGTATCAAAGTGAATTTGCTCTGGTTACAGAGTGAAAGACATGTCTCTCCATTGCACTCACGACACATAATTTGGTTCATGGTGAAGCAATTTGTGAATTCCCACCCACCCAATGATGCGCCCAGTGAAATGGACTTGAATATTGTGTGTGGCACAAGTGGAAAAGACATTGGGAAATGCTTTCGACCACCCAAAATAAAATTACCCCTGATAACTTTTAAATTCAATTCTCCTCTCCACACAATTTCACCAGAGAACTCACGAAAATTGATCAATCGACTTTTCCTTTATCTGATGTGCCAAAGACACAGTGGAATTTGCACACTATTTTGCGTGCTAAAGAGGGTCAATATTCAAATGATCAATTAGTTTGCATTTTATTCAACTCACGACCGAAAATCTGAGCCTCTTTTAGCACAGACTGGCACAAAATGTCTCTTCCAATCATGCTCAGCGTCTGGATTTTAGACTGTGTGTAGAGTTTTGACAAAAATTACCGTGGAAATGGGGGAGTTGCGGTGAAATTCGATACTCTCGCAGAGACTCGAGGGCAAAGTGGATGGAGATGGCAAAAAAAAGTGCCAAGGGAGAAGAGCTCAAAGCCGCAGAATCTCTCTGGAAAACCACTCGCTTCAGCCACGACGGCGTGTGTGTGTGTGCATCATGATGGAAATTGGTTCAATAAGAACTGCCCGAACTACCCATGTAATTGGAAATTGGCATAATGCGCTTCCACATGAAACGTGTAAGTGAATTAGAGGCGATAGTCTCCGCAATTTTCCAGGGAAACTCAATTAGATGGATTTTCAAATGATGGGCGAGAGCAAATGTGGCAAATGATGTCAATTCGACAATTCAATTAAGGGTTCTCCTCGTCAATTATGGCACTCGTGGGCCTTCAAATTACCCCGGAAGCTCTGGCACACTGGCTCCATCTCTCATCTACACAGTCAGCAACTCTGCGTTTGCCAAGAAATTCTATTACGGCCTTCCACTCACACCAGTAAAACGATCGGAATCCGCAAAAGGCGATCCTTTTTGGGATGAATTGTGTGATTTGCATTTAATTGAATCGATTGATGAAGCACAGTCTTCGATCGGTGTCATATCAATAAATGCACATTCCCAGAATTCAAAACAATGCAAGCGATTGAGCAATATAATTTCTGAATTACGGCCAATGCATTGACACGAAATTACCATTCATCTCGCGACATAATGAAATCTTTCTCGAGGTGATCATTGAATCTCCACTCTCTGCAATTAGCAATTGATGCAATTTTTGCCATCGCTGCCAGAGCACCATATCAATGAGTTATACACACTCAACTCTTAATTCTTTTTGCCATGCAAATTGGGGTGTGTTCCAATATGTGTTCACACACTCTCTCTCTCTCTCACTCTTCCATATCTCTCTACACAAACTCTAAAAGCTCCGCGAGATTCTGCATTTGCGCCGCGCGGCGTGCATTCAAATAGATTTCATCAACATGCAACTGCGAAAATATCATTTCCAGAGATGTGTGTCCAACATCGTGAGAGCTTTCCAAGAAAAATCAAATTACCGACAAAAATTATTTTAATAAAATTTACATTTTCACTTTGATGATTGCAAGTTGACTCGCACTGACTGGGCTTTTTTGCGTGCGCGCCTTCTCTAGCCCAGGCTTCCACATGACATTTTATGTGCACGCCCAGTGTGATGATATGTTGCCAAAATTCATATATGCAATTTTTCCACTTGACAACATGGAAAAATTAATAATTTATCCACCCCCAGTGTTTTTATTCAAAATGTGCGAAACGGTTGGAAAATATTTTGTCAAGAACGGTAATTTTTTTTCAGCACAGGTTTGATGAAATTCGCATTTCCCGGTGAAAGGCGCTTTTCACTTTGGGCATGAAAATGGTGAAACTTAATCCGCACAAATTCATTGTAAAGAGCGAGAGAGAGAGAGAGAGAGAGAGAGTGAACGGAAAGGATAATTTTGCAATTTCCCTATTTGACCCAAAAAAGAAACTTTCTCCTAAACTCTCGTGATGGTGGTAGAAATTCAATTAGCAAGTTTGGAGAGTGTTGCAAGTCCAGCAGTGCGAGAGGATATGAATGTTAGATAAAATCTAAGCTGGTGAAACATCACATGTAGTGCGATATTAATGCAGTTAGAGGGTGGATTATCTCGTTATTATTTCACTCTGGTCGCTAGGAAGACAAGAGCGTCCTGGAGAGCTGCATTTGCGGATTACTCAGCACACCTTGCCATAGCATTCCCTTCCGGTCATCAAGGGTGTGCTAAGACGAGCAATGGGCAACTTATTGATTGGCCGGACATGTCTGTGTGAAGATTTTGGCTCAGGCTGAGAGAGAGTGAGAGAGAGACTTTTGGGCGGCTGTCAGGAGAAACTTAATAATCCTATCGTCCAATTTGTGAATCACCCTCAATCGACAAATTGAGGAGGTGAAAGAGACGCCCCCCGATCGACCAGAGAATCTAATTATTTCAAAGCAAGACTCTCTAATTCCTCTCCCTTGAAAACGCTTATTCACTTACATCCGTCCGACACACAAACATCACCAACAATGCCAACAAATCATGCCCCATCACAAGGATGCAATGCGAGTAAATTACGCGTATGCAATACCAATGGCTCTATCATCCTCTCTGTCACATGTGCATCACAACTGCAATTCTCTACGCCAAACACCCTGTCCGGCCATTCATTCACACTCACTGAGAGGATTGACCGATGACAGGCACATCTACCGATCATCCCTCACAATTCTCCGAGCCCAGGGTTGTCGGTTTGAGAGTGTCGAGTGCGAGGAGCAATCCTGGCAAGGGATCCCCAAATGAAGGGATTATGAATAATTAGCTTAGGACGATTTGGGAATTGTTTTGCTTTCCTCCCGCTTGACCATCATGCGCCCAAATGGACAAAGAACACGATGAGGGTTGCAGGCTGAGAATCCTTTTCGCATCGCAAATATCCTCATGAATAACACACAGTAATTGTTGGTGATGAGCTTATGAATGTGATGCTGCATCATTCCCTTCATGTTAATTATTTTCTGTAATTTTCTCCACACAAGAGACTCCATATAATTAAATTGGATTAACCTCACACACCTTCGCATATGTATGTCAATTTATTCTGCTGTACATATACTTTTTTTTTATTATACACGTAGATGAGTTAACCCCTCTTCGCGCCATACAATCAAAGTATTAATAAGAGGTGAAAATCGGGCAAAGTCGAATCCTCGACAAAAGCGGATCATCGTGGTCGGATGGAAAAAGTGGAAAATTAATTTCCTATTGGTGCTGAATAAAGCATCAGGATAACTCTCACTCTTCCTCGCCACACCGACTCACCCTGGGAATGGCCTGCAACACTCTATATTTCGCTGGTTTTCGTGTGCGCGCTCTGGCCATCAAAATTTCATGATGGAAATGTTTGTGCTATTATTAAAACGAAAAGCTAATGACCACCGCGGATTTTGTGGGGTGGAAAGATTTTACCCGGTGGGATTTTGACCGAGGCCAATGGTGGAGGCACGAAAACCAATTCTTGAATACTAATTCATTAATGAGCCCTAATTAAGCCGCGCGTATTGCTCTATATCCCGCATGCCGGTATTACTCTGTGCGAAATATGGAATTTTCATGTGTCTGCACTCCGCTCTGGCGATGCGATATAGTTTACCATCAGCCAGATAACACGCTCTCCTCTGTATCGCCATAACATGCATATAACACACCTTTCTTCCATTGCAGACACAAGTTACTCCTATCATCCTGCAATTCACGATGAAACCTTCGTCCGACGGAAGCAGAGACGCAACCGAACGACTTTCACATTGCAGCAAGTAAGGAAAAGAAAACCACAAAGTGTATGCCATAAATATCTAACGACTAACTCACTTGCAGTTGGAAGAATTGGAGACGGCGTTCGCCCAAACTCACTATCCCGATGTCTTTACACGTGAGGATTTGGCTATGAAAATCAACTTAACTGAAGCAAGAGTTCAGGTAAAGATATTCTTCATGCACACCCAAGAATATACCGAGAATTCAAGGGAAAATCAATTCCTTCAACAGTCCGTGCAAGGCGAAATGTCATGTGATTAATCCCATCAAAGTCTGTCAATAACAGAATTTGCCACATTAGCTCACAAGTAATCTAATCAATTACTAGATAAAATTCCAATACGAGACTCTTCTTCTTCCACTCCTCGATTCGCCGTCACGTATAATACATTTTTGCCATTGATGACAAAATGAAATAAATTTGCCGAAGGGCAGAGACGAGTGAGAGGAAAAACTTTGCCACCATATGCTGTAATGGTTACGAGATTAGATGATTTTTCCTCCTTATCGTATTTCATTGGAATGTCATTAATAAGATTTCGGGACGTGCCAAAGAATTTCCGTCTGGCGCTGGGAAAATATTCACACTTTCTTATGATTCTCTGTGAGTTTTAATTGCCACTAAATGCCCTCTTTTTTCCCTGACATGAGAAGTTCCTTTGTTTTTTTTTTTATTTCAACCCCTTGTAATATGATTTCCACTTGAGAGTGAAACCCCTTTTCTTCCTCTGCGATTGTTTTGTAATTGTATTTACACACTACAGTGCTCACAATTTCCTCTCTCCATGTTGTATTGAACGTTTGTCGAATAATTAGGCATGTTTTTATTTTCTTATTCATCACTCAACACTCCCTGAAATAATAGGCAATTTGGCCAAATAATGGAAATTCCTCTCAAAATAAGAGAGAAGTTCTCTTCAATAAATTGTTGCCACATTGCATTTTATTTTTCACGAGTAAAAATAATAGGGAAATAATTATTTATTAATTGTAGGCAAAGCCGGGGGGTTGAATAAGGAGTGCCCACTTGAGCTGAGGGCAATTAAAATTGCAACATTTCAGTTGTGAATTGGGTGTAAATTGCAAAACCACGGAACAACATCCAATTTGCATTTTCCACTCTTCGCAGGCGCAATGCACGAGGCCCTCAAGAGGGAGTTGGAGATAAAAGTGGTTGTGAAGATGGCGTCAAACAATTTTCCTCATTTAGAAATGCCATCTTCCATCCCTCCAAAGCACACTTATTTTGTTCATCGCTCAAAATGAGAATTGCATTGCGCTAGGAAGTGTTGGAGCACCACACATACATACACATATGGTAGAGAGAGCGAGCGAATGTAATGAGTCTTCAATGAAATGAAAGTCATTTCGCCTTTCGCAACTTGAAAACTTTACACAATAATGCATGAGTCCCCATGATAGAGTGGCGCATGAGAGCGAGAAAAACAGCCACACTCAAAGGGAAATGCGATGGGGAGCTCTGTGCCTTGGCGAGGGTGTTTTGTTTTTCCTCGCTCTCTCCTGTTTGCCAACAATGAATGTGTGATGCTGGAATATTGTTTGCTGTTAATATTTTATAATACGTGACATGCTCCGGGCAAATCAAACAAACTTCCACACTGTATTCCCACTTCTCCCATCTAAGAGACGCGCCTCGTTCTCTTTCTCTTTCATATCATATATTCACATTTGTTTGCGACACAATAATGCTGTGGGTTATTTCTGCAAATTTTCCTCCTCGCCAGAGCACGAAGCAGAGAAAAAGAGTAATTGAATTTTAATTTTCCTTTACATTCTCTTCTCCTCTCTTCCATTCTCCATGATCTCATCATTGTGGGTGATGATAAAAGAAAAATTTCATATTATATTTTCCTTCAAATGCTTGCAAGACTTTTAGATCTGCGCATTGAAACTCTTGGCGCTTTGTGAGTTGCATGCGATCTTGTACGGATACAATTTTCAGTATGTGTAACCTCATCAGTGTCACTATGTCACGTTGAACTTCTTGAAAACGCACCTCAAAAGCATCGCAGAATTTTTTTTTGTGATATGTGGAAAAAAAATTCAATTTGTCGCACACAGTCTGTCACATTTGATCTGAAATATGTCCAGCATCAAGTGAGACACGCCATAGTAATATAGTATAGTAATAAATTGGCCAAGAAGTGAGGGTGGGAAATGGCAAGAAAAAAGCTACTTGATGGTTTTATAAATTCAATTTGTGGCGGAGAGATAAAATTGTGGTGTAATATTTGAGGAGTGGATTGTCTGAATTACCCAGGAATTTTCCTCATCTTATTCTCTCTTCTGTGCCAGTGTATAATTTTCCACTGGCGCTTATTGAATTTATTCGCGCAGTGTGGGTAGAATTTCTTAACTCTGTTGAAGAAGAATTGGCGAGGAAGGAGGAAAAACACCCCATTTACTCAGTACATTTTCCACTCGCACATCTCCTAACTAATAGCTTTTGGGATTAGTTTGAATCCTTTTCCTGGACATCAAATTTTCTAGAGCAGCACAGTTAAATGTAATAATATTATTTTTTGATATTTGATACTTGGCATTTATGATCTCACTTTCTCTCTCTCTCTCTCTCACTCGCGTGAGATTCGCATGTCGAACTCGGAGGGTTGGAATATTTTGGAGAAGTTGAAAAGTTGAAATTGAATTTGTCAGTTTTGGGTCACGTGCTTCACTGAACACGAGAACAAGTCTCGCATATGAGTGGAAAATGATATGAATTGAAGGGGTTTCATGATATCTCTAACTGAATTATTTACTCCTTAAGCAATATCGCACAGTCGTCATGTGTTCTAATGAATATTCCACCCTCCCTCATCCCCTTCGAATGCGTAACAATTTTATCAAATTAGTCCTTTAATATTTAAATACATTTTACGAATAAATTCTTAATGCGTGATCTCGGCGGAATATTCGGAAAATTCACTTCTTCTTCTTCGCTACCCGAGGGGGAGAGAAAAAAAAACACGCCAGACGCGCGGAGGAGAAAACCAAGGCGAATTTAAGTGGCCACCCACTTTGTAATCTGACACCTTCACTTACATAGTGCGCTGGTGAATCCCTCCGAATTTCCACCCCACACGAAGAACGAGGGAGACGTGGAAAATTGTTCCATCCACCCTCCTTACCATTGCCACACTCCACGGGCGAAACATAAAGCAATCAAGGCAAGATCCCATGTTTGGATGAGATGGTGGAGAAAATTCATGGGCGGCAACAAACTCTGGTTTATCTGCGCGCCAGCGAACTCTCTCTCTCGCTCTCTTCCCCCGCGCGTTCTGCAACATGAGGAAACAATGTAGCAAAAATTGAAGTTGACTTACCCAAACGATTTTCCTTCTTATTGAATTTTCTCTCTCTCTGTTCGTGGCGATGGAATTTTCTTTGTCTCTCGCGCGCACTCGATATCATCTCACTTGTGTGTGCAAAGCCTGTAGCAGTGGAGGAAGAATGGAAAATCAATTTAATCTGTTATGAAATAATTTCTCATGAGTTCCCATATGATCAAATATATACAATGTTGAGATAATAACGACAATTTAAATATTTGCTCCAAATTCACTCAAGTGCGATATACCAATTCTCTGTCAACAGATTTATCCACTGATTGCTGTTCATTGTTTCATGCCAAAAGAGAATTTCACTCTCCTTCCAACATCGTGTTTATACTGAATAAACACCACAAAACACGCAGAAATTCTCCTCAAACTCATCACAATTATGGCAAACATTAGCCAAAAATTGAGTGTTGATGAGACTTTAGCACTTGTTACAGATGTTTTAATGAAGCTCATGCAGCCAAGACTGTGGCTCTAATCTATGCCCTTTGCAACTCTGCCAAACCCCTTTTTGCACCCCGAAATATGCTGCTGCCGCCTCATAATCCCACCGAAAATGCACCCAGCAAGAAGTCGGGCATCAAAGAGTGATTTAACAAATTCGTTGAGGTTCATCGTCAACAAATTGATACAGTGTTTAAGAGAGGGTTGGCATGAGGGTGAACGGCTGGTGCCAGAGTGGAGGAGAGAGAATCTTTTTGTGAACAGATGCGCCTCAGCAAATCGACTCACTTTTGGTGCGGTTTTACTATTGCGGCATTTTAAGCAGAACATTAAACATCCCCTCAATTCGGCGCGTACATTCGTCGGGCTAAAAGAATTATGCCAGGAGATGATTACATAATAACCAATTTTCATTATTTGGCTTATTGCCACCGCACAAACTTACACACACAGCTCGGAAGTGAGGGTGGAGAAGTCCTTTTGTTCTCGCCATCGATAGCAAGTACAATATAATGATATGTATTCTGCCCCGGAGGAGAGTGGGTTTTGAATAATGAGCTTATATTTGTTTGCGAGATAAATTGAAATGAACTAATTCTTGCATTACCACTCGACATCGTCATCTTGTGAGACAAATGTGACAAAATCGCAGCATATTTCTATGCAAATTATCCACTCAAGTGGATAAAATAGCCCCTGGCTTAATGGAAAATTATCTCTTTATACACTTCTCTACTCATTTCATCTCGTCTCGAGAGCTCCACACTTTGAATTCAATTTTCCCGCCCCACTGGAATGCCCAAAAGGAAAATTCCCTCAACAAATTCCGGCCTCATACATTAACGACATTACGCAAGGATGAAAAATTATCCAAACAACTCAATAACATTATCCATTTTTATCTCCTCTCTGTCGTTAGGTTTGGTTTCAGAATCGCCGCGCAAAGTGGCGAAAGGCGGAACGCTTGAAAGAGGAGCAGCGAAAGCGCGAAAGCAGCGGCGATGCGCCCATTTTGCCAGACAAGATCGAGAACAGCCGCGACTCCTCGCCAGACATCACGGGCGATCCGGATGAGGACAGGAGAAGCTCCAGCGTGCCACCGCTGAGTCCCAGAGTCGACTCGGAGTCCGAGAGGCCGCTCTCGTCATCGCATCTCACGCAATCAGTCTCTCAGTCCGGATCCGGAGGCAGTGCAGGCTCTCCATCGCCCGGATTGAGGTGCGAAAGCGAGCGCTAAACTGTGACTAACAATTCACACGATGAACTCTGAATCCTTTCAGCCGAATGTCGCAGAACTCCGCCGCCAGCCCCACAACTTCGCAGGCTTCAGACTCCCCAATTGAGGTGGGTGGACCCATCTCCCTGACAACCACCCGCTCAGTGTCCCTCACGACGCCCTCGTTCGGCAACAGCATCTTCACCAGCTTCAGTGACACGTAAGTTTGCATGCGCCGTGGCACTTTGCTCGCCGATAAATCTCAGCCGAAGCACAAGAGGGTGGCTCTCGAAGGTCACGTGTCGTCAATAGAAGTAATCCGAAAATTTTGTGTGTTCAAACACCATTGAGCTGAACATAAGTAAAATGCCCAGTAATTGTCCATAAGAGCTTCCAATGTCATGGACATATAGGAAATGGTAATGTTTCCTAAATTGCGCCCATTCTTGAACAAGATGACAAGAGAAGAGAAGAAATGTGGGCGAAAATGGCATTTATTCTGCTTGTCTTTTATAGTGTTTTGATAGTATTACATCGTTTCTGTATTGCATTACGCACCCAAAATGATAATGTTTCTCCCAAACATTCACCCCCTAATCGTGAGGGTGGAGCTCTTTTGACATGAATAGAAAAGGGGCAGCAAAACATCTTTTCAACATTGCATTCCATTTCGGCAGAATATCGATTGAATTAAATGCAAATCACGTTTGATTTCATCAGTCAGACAACCATGACGACAATCTCTTGCTCTTCTTCACTCATACACGAAGGCGATTAAAAATCGAACGTGCACTTTTTCCCATGGTGTCGAGGAAAGTGCAACTTTCGCAGATTAAACTGTCTCCTGTGAACTTTCTGCATAAGTCTGACAGTTGCCGAAGCATAAAAAGCCAGCAGAAAAAATATGTCATGCAAAAAGGGAAAAACGCCATTAAAGGGGGAGTGAAATATTCCGCGGGTGGAAATAATCACGGGAAATTCAATGAGTGCCTCGCACTCTCTTGTGTGTGTATGTGTGTGTGTGCAAAAGGACCCAGAACAGAGTCCTCAATTGTGGACCGACCAGTAAATAAGTTAAGTAGAGGATTGGACGAAAAGCTTTTAAAATGATTTTCTCTTTTTTTCCTCCCACTTTTCAGAGTTTTGTCCGCTAATTTTTTTTTACCTCTCTGAGAAAAATGTGCGGTTTTGTGTGTGTGTGTGTATGAAACTCCCTTTCTTTTAAACTGATGTGATCTCATTGCAAAAATCCCACACTCTCAAAATACATCGCGCGCCCGACAGGACGAATATAGACATTAATATGATAGGAGAAAGTAATCCTTATTGATTTCTGGTTAATGTGAGATTTCACATTTTCCCTCGCCTTTGTTTGTTTCGCAATAATCCATTAAAAAACGCGCGCGCGAGGGGCGAAAAATGCCCTTAAAATGCTATTATCTCAAGGAGAAATGACAGAATTTTTAATTTCGCCCTCTCAGACATGAAATAAAGTCAGCGACACAGGAGAAAGACCGGAAGGAAGTGAGAGTACCAGAGAATTTTACTTCTCCCACCCCTGCTTTTTATCCTATATAAATCATTAAGGGGTTTATGAGTCAATATTGCGTGTGATTAACATCTAAATTATTTGCTGTCTCAGTGACAAGTCGCGTCATCCTTTGTTATCTGTCCATCTTCTCACAATTCGCCACCCCTGATAATGCTATTTTGCATCCCTCGCGCATCCAATGTGATTTATTGTGTGGAAAGCATTCCGTCCGGAAGCGGAAACTGCACAAGAGTCATGTGAATGAGAACGTCCAGGAAAATCATTTAGGGCTTTTTTTTCTCTCGATGGCTTATATATGCGCAGAGATTAATAGAAAACATCTGATAATTCTTCATGAGATTCACATATTATACACAAAATTGGCATTCATAATGACAAACCAATATTATTTTCTCCTCTCAACATCTCTCTCTCATGTCCACCCTATCATCTTCATCACTTTTAATGACTCCGTTGCACCCTCTTGCATTGTTATTTAAATGCCTGGCTTCATCCCCCAATTCACATCGCATACGTCATTTCACGATTATTTTGAGTGTTTGCCTTGTGGGCACAAAAGGAGAAGCCAAACACACACAAAAAACGCACGGCACGCACCATAAAAAAGTCCTCAATTGCGCGAGGGTCGCTCAATTGAGAGCAGGAAGTCACAAACAATCGCCAAGTGTGATATTTTGGGTGGTGGTTTTGCATTATTACCCAGTGTGTAACTATTAAAAATGAGTGAAATTGGGTGAGAGATGCAATAAATATATTTGAAAAGCCACCCGCGGTTGTGGAAGTCATTAAGAGTGTGACAAAACAGCACGAGGCTGTTTATTGTATTGTCGTTTGGACATGATATTTTCAGTCACTCAATCTGAAATCGTGCTGCGATTTTCTACGAAAAAAAAAATAAACGGAATAACATCCTCTCGAGACATCATGAAATTATGGCTGGGTAATTAAATTCCTTCCTTTCTGATTGGTCAAGTGGATGCGCGCGCTCAATGGTTCTCAAGCCACCACCCCAAGGATATTTGTGTCCTCTCGCACATCAGTGCAAAGGTGCAGAGAGACGATACGTGCAAAAGTGGGAGAAAATGGTGGAAAACACGAGACGCGCACGGAGAATCGCACACGGAAGTAGAAAATCCTTTTTCCACCCATGTTGATATTTCAATTAGAAAATCTATTAAGCTACCCAGGGTGTGTTTAATTAAATTCCACCTCTCGTTTCAAAAACAGTGCCGAAACTCTCTCTCTCTCTCCCGTCCAAACACAGACATAAATTCTGCACAAACAAATTAAACGCAATCAAAACAAGATGAGAATTTCTCGCTTTTACAACATTTCCAGGCATTCATACACCTCTCACACAATATCCATCTCGTTCTGGTCTTGTGTGTCAAATTGAATTTTGTCATTTGAACAGCACTGGCAAAATAGGGAAAGCACCACTGAATGCCAGTCAACAAACCCACACAGCCACTCAATTTCGCCACCCGCACTCAAACCCCCTTTTCACGTCGATAAATGCTTTCGGGATTTTCACTATACTCTATATATAGTATTTCCACAGTTGCATCACAATTGCATGCAACTTTCTTTGTACGGTCAAATATACACAAATTCTTCAAATCCCCCATTTAGATTGTGCACAAGTTTACATTTTTAAATCTAATCTCCTCGTCTTCCTGCAAAATGCATGACTTTTTATTATTCCATCTCTCTCAATCTTAATGCATTTTCTGGATTTGGCCATGCAGAGAAAATCCGCCTCGCTCTCTTGAGGGAAATTCAATAAATAATTTAACATGATGGAGTGGAAAAGTGCCTCACCGGAATATATCTTTTCTATTTTGCGTAATCTTTTAAAGTAATTGACCCTTTCTCTCACTCTCTGTACACTTTTTCCGCCGCGCGTCTGTCTTTCATCTTCATCCCTCTGCAGTCAGGCGGAAGATAATTACCTCTTGCTCTTATTCTTGGAACAATTTCTAAAATGGATCAGCTTGACCTTTTTTCCCCGCATCTGCCATCTCTCTCTCTTTCTCTTCTGCCCTTATTAAATAAATGAAAAGATATCAAATTTGGAAGATTGCAAGTCCGGACAGTTGAAGTAGGTGGGATTTTTCCACCTCAAACTCCAAGCATATTTTCCACAATTGTTCACTTGAGCAATGAATATAAAGTCACATTAATTATTACATCTTTTGCCTGAATGTTTCTTTGCGGTGGAAAATGAGAAGATATGAAAAGTGGTCAAATATTAATTCACACAATTTTTTTCCCGACTAATTTCCTCGTCTTTGCCAACTTTGCGCAAAGAAATTGAATTGTGTGACTTCTCTTGCAATTTCTCTCGTCCTCTTCTCAACTTCAGTGTGAATGAGAAAAAGAGCAACATTTTTTATTCATATACACAACACTGAACAGATCATCTTCTGCAGAAGCACAACATTTCCAATGTTGCCGAGGGAGAAAACACACCATGTAAATGGCGGGAGTTGAGAAATTAGCTAATTAAATAATTAATTGCCGCATAATTTAACACAGTTGAGTCAAGTCTTTATGGATAACAATGAAGACACACTCATAAATTGATATGCATTATAGTTTCTCCGCACATATAGCGAAACTTACAATCTCACATTAAACACGGCAAAGTTTCCTTGGTGTAATTCAGTAGAAAATTGCCCAAAATTCCTAAGGTGTGCATGCGAAAGTCGATCCCAAAACTTTCAACCCCCGCCAAACGCTTCAAGCCGATGAAGAAACTGAGATGAAAAGTGACTTTATTATACTCTTCAGTATAATTATAACACTGAAATATACATTCACTTTGAGCGTTGATTGTAATTGACAGTAAACACGCCACATGCGGGTTTTCGAGTTCTTTGTCTCATTTCATTATTCAATTTCCTCACAAGTGTTTTAAGGGAGATTTCCAGAGTTACGAAATTTATTGTAGTTTGCAAAAGTCTTGTCAAAAGTAATGAGAAACACCTTGGAATCCCTTAAACAAACTTTCTCACCACTTTCCCAATGAACTCTTCGCCACATTTCGGGTGGCAAGTTGTAATAAAAACAGTGAAAAATGAATTTGTCTTCAATTGCAGATAAAATTTTGTTATGCCAATTTGGGTGTTTTACGACTACAAAAATTTATATTTTACGCGTGATCGCAAAGAGTTCATGCAAACTCACCATCAATATCCGGGTAAAAGGCACCTGAAACAAGAGAGAGAGAGAGAAAAACCTTATTAAGTCCCTGAGACGCTCGCTCGAATCATTTATTAATGCCAATAACTCGATGAATTGGCACAAAGACATGGTCGTAATAGACAAAATTCCGATGGTTTCAAATTTTAATGCTATTATTTTGCTGCTGTCGTGAATATTTAACGTCATAACTGTGTACACACGCTTCGCAAATTCGCTCACACTGGGTTTATTGTATTTCTCCGGGAGACACGTGAAGATGTGAATAATAAATTCTAGGGGTTGAGATGCGCAAAAAAGACACCCAGGTGGCTTCTAACAGCATTTTGACTCGAGTTCAGACTAATTCAATAATTAGCCAGATTAATTAATTATGATCAAAGGGAAAATTGACATTGGAAAGAAGCTCTATACTTTAGAGGGAAAAGCACTTTGGTGCGCGCCAGAGAAATCAATTGAGATCATGTGCGGGAAAGAATTCATTGGGTTGGGACGGACAAACAGATATGGGAGTATGGAAATTTATTTGATTAACTCCAATTAAAATTCATAAAGTGAATTGGGTATCTCCGAGAGGCGAATGTTTATTCAACTAATTCATTTGCAGCAATTAACCGAGCCACAAATAACATTCATTCGCCTCTGCGAAGAATTACATGCGGCATTCTTGCCACAGGATTTCATACTCACGCCCGCGTCTGTCCTCTTTGCAGGAACGGCGGTTTCCGCCCCGTGCTGGACAATGGCACTCCCAGAGCCACGCCGCCGCTCTTCTTGCCGCCCCACCTGGCGTCTCTCAGCTCGCAATTCGCTCCACCTCTCTTCCCAGCACTCAAAGGTAACACACTCAATCTCTGCCGATCAATCAATCACGCATTGATTTCCGCGCGACTACAAAAGTGTCCCGCCTAATTGAATTTCTCACCACGCGGAGCGCGTCATAAATCTCCGGCGCAGAGATGAGAAATTGAATTATCGCGGATCAGAAGCCACCTGAGCTCGATTGATTGTCAACTCTCACCTTTGCAGCTTTCCCGGGACTTTGCTCCTGTTGCCCCATCAAGGCGCCCAGTCTGCCCTCATCCACTGCCGCCTCTGGCGTGCCCTCGTCCGCTGTCATTTCCTCGGCGTCCACCACGAGCGCCTCCCTACCGGATCCGCGCTCCAGCTCTGTGGCGGAGCTCCGTCGCAAGGCACAGGAACACTCGGCGGCTCTGCTGCAGTCTCTGCACGCCGCCGCGGCTGCTGGGCTCGCCTTTCCGGGCCTCCACTTGCCGCCCCTGTCGCTCCACAGCGCACTGCACAGTCGCAAGAGTGATCTCCTGGCCGATCTGCCCAGCATTGGTCACAATAACAACAACAACAACGATTCCCCGATCACTCCGGCGACGCCCCAGCAGCCGCCACTCAACGGCGTCCTCCCGGCCGCCACGACGCCGGACAAGACAGCAAGCGACTGAGAAACAAACACACTCTACGCTGCAAAGACAAGGGAATAGTCATAGCGAACCAAGGAGAAGTTTTAGGACATTTTCCACGATAAAGAGCAGAATAATCTGTCATGGTGAGATAAAGAACACCACAACTTACCATATTAATCATGATAATTCTGTAATGTAATAATAAATTTAGAAAACATCAGCCAAATGCAAACATTCCAACACATATTCTCTAATGTCCTAAATAATAGCTGGAAGAAGAGTCATTTAGAAAAGAAAATATATCGAGAAGGAAGATTCAATAAATAATCATGTAAAAAATAATGTAATTTAAGACAGAAAATCTTTACATTCACTAAATTTTAACCACTGTAATTGTGTTTCATGCGAGAGTTAAGTAGATATTATATGAGAATAAAGCCCATCTTACCGACATAGAACCTTTAAAAGAATAGGAATAGATATAAAAAGAAATATTAGCATTATGAGGAAATAAAGAGTAATTTTAAACGTACTGTGCCAATTATTCATATATAGAGATAAACGCAAGAAATACAACAAAAAGCATGGGTTAGAATAAGAAAATCCGTAGGGAAGAGTACCAAAAAATCACTGAAGAGACACACTGAAAGTATAATAAAAATTGCGAGTATTATGCAGAAAATGTGCTTTTATCTCCAATTTGCTTCTTCACAACAGATCCGACAGCGTGACGTCCTTGCGCACCGCATTGTTATAGCCCTCCTTGAAGCGATACCAAATCGGACTCTTCACGAGGCCATCGCTGCCGCCCTCCTTCACGGACAACAGCGCCTGTTTCGTCACCACGCGCCCAAAGAAGTCCTTCACCACCTGCAAATGCAAACCGAACAATTGATCCTTTGCTGTACAGGACGCAAAACACACTGCTGGCGTCAAAATCTCCCCTCGTGCGCTTTTTCTCCGCCTGAGCCTTTCATCCCCAACCTAATCCTCGCATTATGTGAGAGTCATTTTTCAAAATTTCCCACAAACACACACACATTTACACATCCAAAAAAAAATCGTGTTGCACAGCAGACGAAAAAAGTAATTAGGCCTCTTCTTGTGTGCCGCATAAACACAGCGCGGTGGGAAAACTCATTTGCATTTTCAATGTGTGAATAAATTGGCAAAATTATCCAACTATGAACTTTTAATTTCGTCTGGCGCTTCCACAACATAAAAAACATACCCTTTATTGACAATTTTTTCAATTGAATGCACATAAAAGTAGTTATTGAAAATACTGCAATAAAAAATTCAGTGTCAACAAATTGCATGAGATTTCATTACAAAAATTGACATAAAAATGGATAATTATAAGCGATAAATGCGAACAATATGAATCAAAAATTGCCAATTACCAGTGGTAAATATTGCCAAAAAAAAGTCTCCTTGTGTTTGTGCACAGAGAGAGAGAGAAAAACCTCATATCAATATTAAAGCCATAAAATTCAATCAGAGCCTCTAAGTGAGATCTACAGTAAATCCCGCAGATTTCCCACTCCGCGCGCCAACACGAGAAATCTGCTCGTGAGGCGAAAATGGCGGTGATAACTTGTTATTATTGCTCCCTGAGAAATATAGAGAATTTTTCATTGGAGTGGATAATGGAGTTTTGTGCGAAAGGATAATGGAAAAAATATTCAGAATAATTGCATTTCTCCTCTCGTGGGATATAAAAGAAGTGAGATCTCTGCTGGATTAAATTGCCAAATGAGATTATTGATGCTTAGCTCTCGTGCCTGACAAATGGATTGCACGAGAAATACCGTCAATTTTCACTTCTCAAGGAATTTCTCTTTGCTAATGGAATTTCCACCACAGAAAAAAACCCCTTCGCCGAACTTTTGGGATATTTCTCTAAATCTCTTTCTTCTCTTCTCTTTTCTTTTGCCCAAGAAAAATATAAATCAAGTGTGGCTTCCGCACGTTCTGACTTCAGTTTCATTTTCTTAACAGTTTTACACGTTTTAAAACTCATTTTGGTATAAAAACATAAAATGCTCTCTTCCTCCCTTCAACCATTTTCACAATCATCTCTCTCTCTTTCCTTGCGGAAAATCGTGCGAGAACGACCAGAAAACAGCGTAACTAAGCAATTCAGTTTCCTTCCGGCCGCCATCTCAAACATCTTTTCCCGTCTGCTCTCGAGACTTTTACACGCCCAATGAAATTTCACCCTCAAACTATACATCTCTCCAAGTCATTTCTTCGTTCACATTCACCCCTCCTCAAGACATCACCCTTAAGACATTAGATTAACAATTAACGTGAAAGAATCAAACAAAGTGAAGACAAGAAAGAGAAAATCTCAACAACATTGAATGGAGAAATTAATTTCCGTGAAAATACTCTCGCAAATTCTTATTGTCTTCTTCTATTGAGGAAGCAATTGCCGGGGAGGAAAACAGTCTCGTGCAATGGAGAAAATGAAGAAATTCAATCAAATCCACCTTCATTAGAAGTCTTCAGGGATTTTCACGCGCCGTGTGAATGAGAATTACCAAAAAATCTCCAACTATTTCACTCTTTCTCTCTCTCTATCACTCTCTCAAGGAGTCACAATAAATACATAACTCCATTCACCCTCTGAAATGTCGCACCCTCTCGAGAAATGATTTCAAGCGATGACCATAATTTTTCTCAATGACCATTTAAGAAAAGTGGCCAATAATGATCCGTAAATTGTCCGTGAGAGGGAAATAAAATGTATTTTATTATAGGCAACAAACATTGTATATCGCACATTGAGTCACAAAGGAGAGGAAGAATATCATTGTGGGTGTCCTTTGAATTTTTCACCCGTCGCCCATCGATTGGATCGAATATTATAGCTTCCGCTCGAGGGACCGGAAGCGACATTTTCCATTTTATATGACGCGTCCTGAATGTCTCACTCGACAGATCTTCACTCTCAGTGTCATTCCTGGACATTTACACAGATACACACCCCCAATATATTTCAGCAAAAATATCATTGAAAGCCCAGCTTAAAATATGCACACTGTTTTTCTGTCCTTCATGCCACCAAACTATCAATGTGAAATATTAATGCAATCGCCAAAATAGATGCCTCCTCTCGTGACCACAATTCCCAACTCAATTCTCATCTATTCCACCTTCCTTCTCATCATCCTCGCTCGCTCACTCGCAGTGCAGACTATTTAATATTTATTTAGAATTAATAATTTTTTAGCCACCGTGGAATTCAATCGCGAAGCCATTTCACGCGTAAAATATTCCTCATGTCGATGAGAGAGTAAAATCGACAATAGAGAAATGTGGGGCAATCTACAGCATATTTCTTAGGGAGTTATCCCACTATATTCAAGTGATAGAAGTTATCGACACATAACGATAAGAATTGAATGCAATTTCCTTTATTAATGTAATTTTCGGGAAAAAATAACATTGATATGGACTAATTAGTCCTTAGACTACCGATCTGACCTTTTTCTACTTTTAAATTTGTGTTCAAAAAGTTATATGTATTCGCCCTACTTTCCTCTACATATTCCTATATTGAGAAAAAAAAACCGCCACGAGGATTGGAAGAAGAGTATATTGTTAAAAAATTGAAAATTGACTCTTCCTGACACTCTGAATAAATTACATTCCACACATATTTCAGCGCACATCAAAAAGTGGAAGTCCAGGAAAGCGCCAAAACGATTTTCCACCCTTCGCACCATGTGAAATATTCACAAAATATACTCTCCAATATTATTCCAATGAAAGATGATGATATATTCGTGAGTGGATCGATTTGAATTTCAATTGAAGCCACCGTCAAAAGTAAAATTACGTGGAAAATTGAAAACAAACTAAATTTTCTTATTCTTCGCAAATATCCACACCATTTTTCCTCCTTTCACACAGAGTGAAGAGAGAGAGAGAAGAGAAGAAAGGCTGTCTCTTGCCGGGAATTTCGCCAACGAGACACAAAATTGCAATATATTCTGAGTGAGAAGGCAAAAGGAAATTATTAAGGGGAGAAAAGTAGCTTTTTTCGTATAGAATCTCCTCTATTACGTCCATAGATAACTTAATAAATTACTTGACCAGAAGATGATTCAATCCATTTGATAAATTCACTTGAATACATCTTTAGATTCTACTAGTTTTCCACCCCTTTTGCACTCTCCTCCCCAAAGACATGGGCGAAGAAGTTAATACAAAACTTTACAACTTTCCATCATTTCCTCCTTTCTCGCGTGTGTGTGTGCAACGAAATCAATTTCGACAACTGTCTCCAATGCATTGAATTTCATTCTTTTTCCCACTCCGCCAACAAATTCTACTCCATCAACCCGCAAGAAATTGATGGAATTCCGAGCAAAATTGAGGGATTCATGCGAGAATTTCCACTCAACTTTCTCCATTTGCTTCAACCCAAAATTGGAAATAAAATTGTGAAAAATCTCACTCACCATTTCCTTGTATTTGGAAAGTCTCGTCACCTTCTTCGGTTGCAGACTCTGCAGATGATTGGCTTTCTTGCACACTTCACCGAGTTTCGGCTTTGCGCGTCGCATATTCTCCAAATCCACCTCGCGAGCGACAATTTGGCGTGTCCAGTAGCTGAGCGGCGCCTCTTCTGAGCCACTGAACACACTCATCAGCTCAATATCCGGCTCCATTTGGTACTTGAACGCTCCATCGGCGCCCTTAACTTGCATGAACTTCACACCAAGATCTGCCATCACTTCCACAGCGTGCTGCAGATCGGATCTCTCCTTGGGCGTCAGCAGTTGCAGAGACACCGATCGGATGCTGGGACTCAGGATTCGCCGCACAAGCGGAAGCGAGTCCAAAAGCATCACATTTCCCTCGCCAACGCTGCGCACTGTATTGCCAAGGCCTTTCCTCAGGGCAATCATGAGCATCTTGTGCGTCTGCAGCTTTTGCAAGACCTGCAAGAGGGAGGAAATTGCGTCAATTGTGGCGAAACAGGCTGAAGGAATCCAATTTCCACCCTTAAACACTGTGAATCGCATGCATGACAGCCATAATCACAAATTCCCTTTCATCACTGACCACATACTTGAGCTCAATTCTTCCTCAACTCGCCAGTGAAATTATACCGAAAGCGATAACAAACAGCTTCTAAAAGAACTTAGCAATAAACATGTTAATAACAATTACTCGAAGTGGACAATATAAGTGAAAGAAGAAGAAAAACTCTCCCAAATTGATTAAAAAAGCGATCATTTCGCGAAGATATTTGCCTCTCATGTTCTTCACTCGCATTCAGCAAAGTCTTCTAGTCTGTGAAAAACAGTCTAAATGATTTTATAAATTATGCAATCTTCATTAGCCTGTAGTGAGATAACATAAAAAGGTCTTTATGTCACAGAAAACCGCTCTAAATGCGCCCTGATTAATCTCCCTTCATCCCACTTTGCGCCCCCCAACCCTTAATCACGTGCACACAAACTGACCTCGAATCCTTTCGAAGGGAAGGCGATGGTGGCGCGCTGCAGAGTGGCGAGAAGGCTGTGCCACAAGGCGAAGGAGTAGGGCAAATAGGGATAAATTGCGTAGTTTTGTTGTTGATTTATCATCTTCTGCAGCATGTCTGCGAAGACGAACCAATCGCACACCTCTGAAGTGTTCCTCATCGCCGCGTCGCCGATCTTCTGGTTTAGGTAGTTCTCAAAGACGCCTTGCATCAGTCTTTCATAGTCGCCCCCGGATTGCACCACGCGCACAATGTTCTCCAATCGCGACTGCTGAGGCTGCATTTCGGACGTATTCTCGCCGGTGGCGTCGAAGACTTGAGGTTTTTGTCGCTGTGTCTGGAAGATACTCGCCCAGATGACGAACAGTCCCTTGTGCTGATCCTTCTGGCCAATGTTCCCCTTCAGAACCTCGCTCAGTGTCAACGGCTTCTTCGCGGCACTGAAGAACTGTATCATCGAGATGCACGATCGGATGTCATTTCCCGTCTTCTCGGCCAGCGACAGCAAAGCGCCAAAGTCAGTCTGTACGTTTTCCCGCACGGCAATGCTGATCAATCTCTCGGCCAGTCTTTCGCTCTGCAGAGGTGGGAAAGTCACCACGAGAGCCATCTTCCGCAGCTGCCGCAGAGCAGGAGAGTAGATATCGTTGCAGATGCATATAATTGGCCTCTTTAGGACATTCTTCAGCTGCTTGACACCCTTCTTGCTGCCTTTCTGGACAGGATTAAGTGCATCTGAGGCGAACTTGATCAGGAGATCGATTGAATTCGCTGGAGCACCATCGATTTCATCAAAGACAAGGCAATTCGGGCGATTATCTCTGTTCAGCACTGACTTCATTTGAGTTCCATCCTCCAGAACTTGCTTGAAGGCTTCAGCAGTTCTGTCGTCAGACGCGTTCACCTCTCGCACTGCATAGCCAGCGTGGTGAGCAATGACATGAGCCAGAGTGGTTTTCCCGAGTCCAGGTGCCCCAGAGAGTAGCGCAATCTTCTGCATCGGCCTTCCAAGGGCATCCAATTCGGTTGAGAGATTATTCCTAGTGCGAAAGTTCTTTCTCCAGCCGCCATTGCTCTCAAATTTCCCTGTTTGCTTGTTAAACGTGTTTAGCGGCTTTCCGGACGCTTGAATCTGCTGATTGTCCCTGTTGAAGACAACTTTATCCCACATCTTCAGCCACTGCAGTAAGCAGCGGTTGGTTGTCTCGTCCGACAGGAGATCCCGATAGCGCTTGGGACGGTATTTCTCCACCCAGAGACTGTCCAGAGACTGAACATTCACTTCCTGAATCTCTGGCGGACTTTCCTGTGCAGAAATCCGCTTCAGTGTGATTTCTCGAGCATCATTCCACACCTTCGCCTTCTCAGAGCCCAGCAGGGAGAATGTAAACTTTCCCACAAGTCCTACTTCGTCCACAGCAGCAGCCATAAACTCCTCATTGTGCGTCCGGACATAGATTCTCTCCCCGTCGCTTCGCGTGAGCGTTTGGAAGGGATAATTCGGCAGCGAATATGAGAGATTTTGCATCTTGAAGCGATGCAGTTGCTCCAAACGAGTCAAGTTACTGGACTTCATGGGATTCACAAGCTCCTGAGTCCTCTTTCTCGCCTCCAGAATTTGCTCAATCATCCTGAGATCGCGATCTTCCTCATTCTTCCGCTTTTTTTGCTGCTGCTTCATTTGCCACCCGGGGCTGAACAGATTCTCCTCATACAGCGCATCCAGGCGGCGCTTTCTGGCCCGCACAAGCTCCGCCGGGGCCGCTCTTTCAGTGGCTAGAGGCGTGGAGGCGTTTGGAAGTGAATCACTATCATCGAAAAGCCGCCGATTAATGTTGTCAATTCTGGAGATTTGTGACAGTGCCGGACTGTCCGGGAATACATCTTGTGTGGGTTTCGGAACTGCCGAAGGCTTTGCCGCCGGCGGATCAACGATATTCGGAGGAGCATCTGCGGAAAATGTATTTTTCAGGTCCTTAGAGATGAAAAGTAACCTCACTTTAGCACTCACCGAAATCTTCATCCATCATTTCGAGTTCATCGCCATACATGAGCTCGTACTCCTCCTCTGCTGTGGGATACTGCTCCATCCTGAACCACTGTGCTTCAGCAGAAGTGCCAAAATAATGGGACAACCAGGGAAAAACGTGAAAAACACAGATGAAAAGTGAAGCGGGAATTTGCTCTGGAAAAGACAGCACCAAAATCTCTTTACGGCCGATGGCGACATCACGCGGACAAAGGTATAAAAGATAAAGGAAGAATTTCATTCTTAGAGAACTTCTTGAATTATCTCAACATATTCTTCTCCTTGCTTCGTCAATATTTATTCAATAAATACAAAAATTAATTTTGGTGTACGTACAAATGGCAGTTTCTCAATTGCAGTGACTTTCCCGGAATTATATCAAAATCTTAATACAAAAGTGCGTCCAGTCTGTGGGAAATTTTCCTCTCCGGCGTTTCAGATGAGTATATCGTTGGTAGTGTTAATTGCTATTGGTGGCAAGTAAATCGATCTAATTTGCGACCGCAGCTTCGAGATGTCCGGATCCTCAATCTCGCGGATTAGCTGTGAGAACTGCACTAATCCTTCCCGGTTCGCCGCGAAGCCGTAGTTCTTGATCACGTCAATCTGGATCTGCATGACTATGGGGAAGACGAACTGCATCATCGCTATCATCTCCTTCCCGGCCACAGCCTTGGCTTCCGTGATGCGCTGGGAATTCTCCGCCTGATTCACACTCTTCAGGATGTCCATGAGAATCGACTTCCCCGTTTCGTTGGTGAAATTCGTGAGGTAGGACATGGCGGATGAGCTGCGGAGAAGCACAATGGGGCACTTAGCAGGAGATTCAGCACAGAAACTAGATGGAGATGGAATTCCAGGGATTTTAGGCGGTCCAGGAAGCAAAATCCCAACAAAATCCTCAAATTGACAACAAGACTGCGAGCAGCTCCACGGCGGTGAGTAGATACATCGGAAGCCGGAGCGATTGCAGTGCCATCTGAAGAAAGTGCATCTGTGCTAAAGAATTCTCTTGGCGCAATTATTTAGGGGTGGAAATTAGCTTATTTCGTGAAAATTTTGATATTGAAGTTCTTTTGTTATGATTTTTGCGCATGCTTCTAGTCAATGCACAAAATCTGCTTTCGATTCTTACCATTTTCTTGACTTTAGCGGAGACACAATCTCTAATTCCCTTTTCATTTTAAAAGAGTCTTTTAAAATGCATTTTCTCTTAACAGAAGAACACATTTACTGAAGAAACTATAGTAAACATTTAAGTAATTTCTTGCAAATACTTTCCTCTCCAAACAACATTTTCCTGTGACGGTGAAGAAGGAAAATAGGCGACATTCAACCATCAGATAGGCGTCTAATTAAGATAAAGTGAATCTCGTTGGAAATTCTGCCCGAATCTCGAGTTGATTTGCGTTATTTAATCCCCCATCAATGGATATTGTGCTCGCGAAAGACCTGCTTTTCATCTCGCCACTTCGCGACTGAAGATTCCATCTAATCCGCCCACCTGCCTCTGCATTATTCATCCAGATCAGCGCGCGGGAGTGACAGGAATCAGGACTGAGAGTGTTCGCACCGTATTTTACACACATTCCCAGGCTTTTGCGAGGGGCGCGCGCGATTCAGATTTAGATTTTATGGCCCGCGAATCACTTTGGAGAAGCGGAATGCGGAGGAAAATCGGGAAAAGCTACGAGAAAAGAGGGAGGAAAAAAGCAGGGAAAGTCGGTGTTTAAAAACGAATTAAATGTATGGGTATTTATGCGATGGTGAGGGATAATGACGATGCGTTTTCTAAGTTATTTAGCCACCCTCTTGGCCCAACTTTCGGGCCATGAATTTTAGAGCGCCACCCTCAGCGAGGTGGATGATGATGATGACTCTCGAGGGGGGAGTTTCTGTCACAAGAATGTGCATAACTTTTCTCAGACTCCCGCGCGCGAGATTACACTTATAATTTGAGAAAAGTGTGTGACAAAATCTTTAAGACTTTTCCTCTGTGTTCCCCAGAGGGTGAATCCCGTGCGCGCGGGATGAAGCATCACCCGCAGAAGTGGCGGAGGAGCGGAAAAGTTGCAGGGTGGAGAAAGAGAGAGGCAAAAATATTTTTGGCAATGAGGAAAATGCGAAAAATATTCATTCGAATAGAGTCGTAAAAGTTGATTGCCACTTCCAGCAGCTGTCGCCTCGAGGCTCTCGAAGGGCGAGAGAGTCTTCCTGGTGACATTACAGCACATGGAAATTGTGGAAATTCCTCCAGGAAACGAAGCAAAGTGCTTCCATTCGCTCTTCCTGCGGCTTTCTTCCCGCTCTCTCTCTCTCTCTCTGCCGTTTTTCTCCTGCTGATGTTCTCACAATTGAGATTCTTGCAATGTTGAGGTGATGTAAATTTGCGAAACACCAAAAATTCCACAGCATCGTAATGAGAATTTAATAGACTTATCAATTCAGGTCGAGAGAGCAATTTGTTATAGAACGCTGCTGCGTTTGGTGGATGCAAAACGAGTTCGAGCAATATTCAGTTAACGTTTAGAAGACTTTTGTGGTCAATTTGATCATAATTTGGTTAAATATGCATATAAATAAATTGACTGTCAATTGAGGCAATAATTCGCACTCAAAGCTAAATTTATTGTCAATTGTTAGGCATCAATTTTCTTAACAATCGTTTGAGTTTGAACTGAAAATTGTGAACACAATCAATTCAGAAGCTTTTAAATCTGCAGATTAAATTTCAATATTGAATTTTGCGAAAGAAAAACTCATTTTAACAAAAATATAGCGTTAAATTGTCAAAGTGATTTAAGTCTGGCGAGTGCTAAATTCAATGCATTTCACAATCGTTAAGCAAATGTTTATTTACTCTTGCGCTCTAATCCCAACAAAAACATTTATTTGCGTGGCATCAAAACCTGGTAAAGCACCCCTTCTCAGCTTGTTTTTCAAACTCAAACGAACAGAACTTGATTATTCAAAGATAATAGCCTTATCTATTACCAAAATTGTTTTATTATTTTTAGACTTATTTACACACTCTTTTCTCCCGCGACGTTGAGCAAACAATTGTGGGCGGAAAGCGATTAAAGACGCTCCGCTGGGGTGGGAATCCCGGGCTTGGGGGATGCGTAGTGTAAATAATCGCCACGGTGCACGTGTGAATTTTTCACGTGTGGGGGGCGGAAAATTCAGGAAAATCACATTCTAGGGAGAGAGGAGAAAGTGCGAATTTGGCGAGGGAGAGAAAAAATACTTGATTACATCTCATCGAGTTGAATTTATCGAGGTTTAAGTTCCAATTTACTTGACTTTTTGTGCTCCAGAATCGATTTCCCGTCGACTTTTTCGATGGGAGATTTCGTCCATGAGATAAGAGAGGCCTTCCAAAGGAAAATCGTCTCGAATTATAGAATTTATTTTTCTTCAGGGCTTTTCCTGAGCATTTGTCTGGTCTCTGCAAACTCCACCACGTTCAAGCGATTATTGGTTTTTGGCCTCTTGCAGATGCTGAAACAAAAATGGAAACATTGGGGGTTGATAAATATAGGAGAGGAGAATATTGAGAGAATTGCTGCGCCAAAGTCACTTGGATGGAATTTATCCACCCTTTTGCCAATCCCGAATTTCGCACACTTTTCTGTGTGTGTAAAAGGACTTAAAATGTCGGACGGGAGATTTCGTGGAGGCAAATCTTGAGTTTCCATCTCGTGAATGCCAGGCTCACGACATCGAGAAGAAGGAGAGGGCGAGTGAATAAAGAACATCACGTGCGCCTCGCAAGATAAAAAGTTTTTCACCAAATGCTATATATTTTCCTGGTGGAGCTTCAGCGTCCCTTTAGTCTCTCACACTTGTTTCCCATGGTTCTCTCCGTGTGTTCTTTTTTCCTTAAGGGAAAAGTGTCTTGTCAAATTGAGACGCAAGTCGAGAATTCTGACATCCAAATAACATTACGAGAGGCGAAGAGCATTAAGGTAGACCACCAGGCGTCTCCATCTCGTGCGAATTACTTCCTTCGTATCGTCAGGTGAATTTCGTCCGTATCAAGATAAATGCGATATGAAATAATAATGATGGTTCACTCATCTTTCTGGCGCCCCCGGATCTTTTTTCGCTGACCGAGGATGGCAGAAAAAAAACGAGATGATTCAATAGGGTGAAGCATGTAAACACTAATTTGGGTCGTGATACAAACACACACACACACAAAAGGAAGTGCCAGGGGAGAGGAAATGTAGGGTAAACAGTGCGAAAGTGGGTGAAAATTCGGTGTATTGGCGAATTTTGCGCTGGATCGGATCGACGTGGGAATATTAACAAAATAATTAAGTTACCCCCAAAGAGACTCCCCAAAATATAAGATAAATTAATTCCTACACTGCTAATTTATCTTGCTCGCTGATGAAGTCACGAGAAGGTATTTCACGGGTTCCAATTTCGATTAATTCCGAGTAATCTTTCCTCCTAAATTCAGCTTCTCTCTCTCTCTCTCTCTCTCTCTCTCTCTCTCTCTCGGGACATGGCGAATGTGTGTCATGTAAGAAATGTTTCGGGCAAATAAATTATTCAGTAGCCAGCAGAATGTGTCTGTCAATCTTCGGCGTGTCAAGAGGCACTCGGAGAGGCACGCACTCAAATCTCCGAAGGATTCCATCAGGATACGGCTAAAAAGTCAGTGTCATTAATAAGTTAAATTACTGCCCTTCTATTTCGGACGTTTTCTAGTTCACCGTTTAGAATATTTATGACACTGTTTCTGAACGTAAAACAATGCTGAATGTGAAAATCGGGCTTTCAGAAAAGAATTTTTATCAATTTTACCCTTCAAAAACCCATAAAAATAGGGTTTTATACATGTTCGTGCTTTTAAATTGTGTGTGACGAACTATTTGATGAACTAAATAGGCATTATAAAAATTCATTATCAATTCTACATTTATCCGACATAAATGTGAAAAATTTATTTATTTTATTTTACTTCTCAACTGAAACCAAAAATTGTTGTTACGAATACTGTTTTTGTCTTGAATTACGCAAAAACTCATATTCATAATTTTGCTCTACACAATTTATGTGAATATTTTTTTGAAATTAAAAAGTCGGACAAATGCTTTCTGCAAACTAAGTGTCGTTGTTGTTTTTCGAATGCTTGATTATTAACATTCGTTGAGACAGCGCATTTTCTGCCCATTAAATATGCAAAATCAAATAAAAATATCGGACAGGATGGCGAAAATAGCCATCTCTCAATATTTAATGTCGCGTTGGAAGATTTTCCCACTGTAAATTTGCATGAGTGGCCGTGAGAGTGTGGAACTTGTGACAATTTTATTGCCAAGAAGCTGTGTGAATATGGGCGAGAATGAAGATCTGTAGCGCCTTCACCTGGTGACTTCCTCCCTGCTTTCTCGCCCTGGCGGCATGTGAGGAGAATGGATATCCTGCGGGACTCTCCATTGTCTGCATTGCAGGTTCACACACACCGAAAGGATGTGCGAGTGCGACTCAAAATGGGTGAATGTCGCCTCCGCCGCCACAAATAAATTACCTGAAAAGGGGCTCTCTATGTATATTTTGGGAAATATGCTTCCGCGTCTGGAGGATAAATCCATTCAGGTGCCACGGATTTTTCCCCACGACTCACGGGTGAATTTAGAGTTTTGTTCTGCCGTGGAAATTAAGAGCGCAATAAATTCACAGTCTGCGATTGCTTGGAGTTGAGGAAGTTTGGGGTGCTTTTTGTAGTGGAAAAATAGGGTGTAAAAATTTTAATTACAACACCTTTTGACGTGTGAATCATGAGATGAAATATTGCAATCCTTGGATTTGTTGTGCCAATACATCAAAGACGAGCGCATTGTCATCTGGGTTGATCGAGAATCCACATCAAAGAGTTTATCAAAGAGCAAAGCGCGCGCCATGAAAATTAATAACTACACA